ATCTTTTACTACCTCTGATCTTTTCTTTAATCTCTTCTCCCCACTGCCCATTGTTCATCCTTTCTCCTTATCACTTCTTTCTCAGATTAACCTACGGATACCAAATTGGAAATAATGATTGGATTACTTTTCATGGGGAAATCACTAACCTTTCCATTTCATTATTCTGAGAGCAGACACTTGTTTATCCATAGAAATGCACACAGAACAGGAGACAAAAATTGTTGTAGACCAATGAATTGTGGTATCAAAGAAAAAATTATAAGAAACGGCTTTGGTGTGTTTTCACATTCAAGAGTTATTTTACATTTATCAAGTGTCACTATTTAGAGTAGAATGTAATCAATGAGAGTAGTTCCATATCTTTCTTTTCCCCACCTCCTGGTTTTTAATGCTTGAAACCATTGTGGAAAGCTTTCAGAATTGTTAAAAATGAAGTTCTTCCATCAGAATTAGGAAGGACCTCTTAGATCCTAAACTCTTGCCTTGTGGTCCACAGGGGTGAGACTCCGGGACAGAGATGAGTAGTTGTCTTGATATCAAATATTTGTTTAGCCTCTTGTAGGAATTCCACATTACTGAAGTGAATAGACGCATTAATGAGCAGAGGAGGGCCAGTGGTCGAAACAGCTGCCCTTTCCCTCTCTGATCTGGAAAACAAAGAATTCTATTTTAGAGTGTTAAATAGTAAGGGACCTTCGTCTTGAATTTGGACTTGACTTGGATTGTCATTTAGAGTTCTATTCACCATAAGTGTATTATCTTGTCCATCCTTCCAGGGGCAAAATACCATAATGTGTAAAATAACCTAATGAGCATGCACTTCCAGATCGAAAACTGCTAGGAGGTATAACCGTGAAGCAGTTCTCGTCAGCCTCTTCCCTGGCTTTTTCATTCTATTTATATCTGAGAAAGCGTGGAGGCTGCATGTGTGTTGTTGTACATTCTCTGACAAAATGAAGAGGTGTGACAAGAACATGGTAGGTAACATTTAACGAGCACATACTAAATGCCAGGCTGTGTTAGAAGTGCTGTCTGTGCCTCGTGGAATTTAATCCTCACGAAAGTCTTACGTTGTTGGTAAGATGTGTTAACCCCATTTCACAGATGAAGAAACTAACACAAAATGTCTGAGTAACTTGGCCAGGATCAGAAAGTGACAGAAATTTGAACCCAAGAAAACTTGACTCTGGAGCCTGACCCTTTTAACCACTATGCTCTCCTGCCTACTTGAGGTAATGACGATGCCCTATATGGGTTAAATACCCTTTTACCATGTATAAAGTCCCTAGCACATAATAAGATCTTAATAAATTTAGTGAATGTTTACTTCTTGAATATACAGATGAAATGACTCCAAAAAGAGTTATTTCATAGAAAAAAGGATCCGTTTATGGTTACCAGGGAGACAGCTCTTACAGTCTTACCTGTTACATCTTCAAAGGATTGCTCACCTGAGGGGTAGAAAGGGGCTCCTCTTCTGCTCAAACTTCTATACTCATCCATACTGGAAGATTTCACCAACCCCTCCCCTCTCCTACCTTCCTGGACCGTGGGAAAATTAAAGGTAGCCTCTTAGGAATAGGCCAGGGGCCTAAGGAGTTGTTAAGTTAGCAATAACTGTTCCACAAATTAAGTATTATAGACAAAATTGTGTATGTTTATGTTGGGAAGGAGGTGGTTGTCAGAAGAATTTATGGCTTAAGTTGTTTTGCTAGAAGTCATGTAGGTGGATTTTTGCTTCTCTCTCCACACTAATCTGAATCCACTTAACCTCAGGTGCGTTTATGTCTATCCCAAGAAGATAGTCTCCCTGGTTTGAGGGGAGCCTGAACTGATGTCCTCAGTGGAGGATGGCGACTGAGGTAAGCAGCCGTCTTCCAAAGCGACCTCTTCACCCGGTGGCTCTAGTTTGCAGCTTCTTCTCTACGTTCTCTAGTTATCCCGGGTGTGAGCATATTCTCATTTATCCCTTTGTGCATAGCTAGATGATTGCAGTTCTCAAACTGAACTCACGGGGATGACAACCTGATGAAACTGCTGGTCCCACAGTAGCTGCTCTTGATTATCTTTTGCTTTGGCTGTTGGGATTGTAGCTGGTTGTCTAACTCCTTTCAAGTTGCTTTGATGTGAAACTGGCCTCAAGGAAAGGAGCCTGCTAATGCTGATTTATACATCATTTTCAGAATTATTCAGAAGTGGGTTGGGGGGCTGAGCCCCGTGGCTTAGTGGTTAAGTACACGCGCTCCGCTACTGGCGGCCCGGGTTCGGATCCCCGGCGCGCACCGACGCACTGCTTCTCCGACCATGCTGAGGGTCTGTCCCACATACAGCAACTAGAAGGATGTGCAAGTATGACGTACAACTGTGTACTGGGGGGCTTTGGGGGAAAAAAAAAGAGGAGGATTGGCGATGGATGTTAGCTCAGAGCCGGTCTTCCTCAGCAAAAAGAGGAGGATTAGCATGGATGTTAGCTCAGGGCTGATCTTCCTCACCAAAAAAAAAATAAATTAAAAAAAAAAAAAAAAGAAGTGGGTTGGAACAATTCTTTTATTCCAGAGTTTTCTGATGTGTATTAATAGAGAAAAAATTCCATGTTCAAGGGAGTTCAGAATATGCTGGGTTAATAAGAGTTGAACAGTTTTCTTTTCTGCAAGATTCTCAGAGCCCTGGACCTGATGGTGGGAATCGTGAATCTGTAAGAGGGCAATACAGTATCCAGTATCTCCCAAACTTGCCTCACCACAGCATCCCTGTTTGTCAGACATCTTCTGGTATCAGTGTTTCTTAGAAGTACGTAGTGGGTAAGAACACAGACAAGGATCCTGACTGCAAAATCCACCCCCACCGCTTACTGTGATCCTGAGCGAGGTACTTAACCTCTGTCCCTCTGTCTCCTCATCTGCAAACTAGAGACAATAATACCTACTGTAGAGGGTTGTTAAGATTAAATGACCATCTATATACATCTATCTATCTATCTCACATTATTAAGTGTAATATGTGTTAGCTATTGTTATAACTATTCAGCCTTCTATTTACTAATGATATAGGTCCCATGCACATGTCAAGTATAAATTCCAAAAGTTAGAGAAAGTTCCTTGTGACTTTTCTATAATAAAAGGAACATATGAACTAGGCAATAATATAGAGGCTTTGACTTGTGGGGGAAAACAACAGAGTTTCCAGTTTAAATCATCTGTCTAGTCAGTAAGGCCACAGTCGTGATAAAATGAAAATGTTGACTTTGAGTAACTCAAGGTAAAATAAAAGAAAAAGGGGAAAGTGAACAGTGGCAAGAATTATTTTTGTATTCATCTAATTGGGACTTGGTTGAAATAGAAAATGTTAAGTTATATGTAGTGTATAACAGTATACACCAAACACTTAAAATTCCAGCTTCCTGGATGGGTGCTATGGAAAGAATGAAGTTGGTGGCTAATGTCTAGCCAGGGAAGAAGGTGAAGAGAAAGCCATATCAAGAAGTGGCTTAGGCAGCAAATTAGGAAGATATCCAGTCATTTATTCAAACAGTAAAACAAATAAATATACTTCATTCTCTAGGTAAAAAATGATGGAGTCTTTTTTCAGCAGTTTACGGTCAAATGGAGGACTAGACTGTAAACAACAAACCATAATAAAATAAACTTAGGATAGTGGTACTAGCATAGCATTATGGCATCTCAGAAAATGATTCCACAAAAAGGCAGGAGGTGAGTTTCAGATTGGAAGGCATGTCTCAGGGCTGGCCTGGCCCTGAGTGAGCTGTGTGATGCTCATTCACGTGCATGCATGTGTGTCTGTACAATACAGGGGGGAAGACTTCCATTCTAGAGCAAGTGATTCCATTTGGGAGGCTGTGAGCGAGCCACATTAAGTAAAAACGGGAGGCCTGATAGCTTGTCCTTCAACAGACCGGTCCAAAATGACTATATAAAGTAAATACCGTAAATCACTGTTGTCAGGGCGCACACTCCACCTCCTCCCGCCCTCGCCCACAGCCTTGCTCGTTTCCACACCCCCTCAACAGTTCAGGAGAGCCCGTGGTCTAAGGAAACGAGAGGACTTCTGACTGTAATCCTAGCACGTCACTTTGTTGAAGGCAAGCACGTGGTTCAGAGAGAACTTATAAATCTCTCCTCCCAGGCAAGATCGTGATGTTATCTGCTGGCAGCAGAAGGTTCGCTCCGAGGGGAGCTTCAGAAGCTTCCGACGAGAGAGAGAGAGAGAGAGAGAGAGAGAGAGAGAGAGAGAGAGAGAGAAAGAGAGAGAGGGAGAGGGAGGAGCAGGCAGACAGAGATACAGAGACCGAGAGAGAGGCAGCGAGAGATACACAGGGAGTGAAGAGCGAGAGCGCAAGTGAAAGGGGCAAGGGGAAAGGGATGGAGAACACAGTGTAACAGTTATAGGGAGCCATTCGGGAACAAACCGAGGGGCTGTCTGGCTGCAGAAACGAGAAAGCAGGAGAGGGTCTATTTCAGGGCGCCAAGTGCCTATCTACCCTAAGCGAGAACGTCCAAGTGGGAGAGAAAACAGGAGAGGGTGGGAAAGGGTGAGAGTCCAAGGGAACCCCTTCGCCACCCCCTTAGGAATAAACCCCCAGTCAGCGGTCTCAGGGGCTGCCGTTGCGGGCGCAGGGGGTGAGAGCCACGGCGGCGGCAGCCGGTCGTCTGTTGCCGGGTTGGCGTTTGGAGCGCGAGGAGAAGGAGGAGCGGCAGCAGGAGGGAGCTGGAGGCTGGACGCGTTTGCAAGCGGCGGCGGCGGCGGCGGCAACGTGGAGTGACCAGGCGGGTCGGCGCGCGCCCGCCCGGGTGTAGGCCACGGCGCGCAGCTCCGGGAGCAGGATCCTCGCCGCCTCGGCAGCCTCTGCGGCCGCGGCACGACCCGATCGGGTCCCCAGCGCCGTGCGAAGCGCACCCGCCTCCCCGCGGCGCGCCGGGCTCGCCCCCAGCGCGCGCACAGGCGAGCGCGCGCACACACACACAAGCTCACACACACACTCACACACGTGTGCGCTCCTCCGCTCCGGAGCTGCTGCTGCTCCTGCTCTCAGCGCCGCAGTGGAAGGCAGGGCCGGACCGCTCCTTCTCTAAATATATAAATTACAGCCCGGGCCAGCCTCGGCGGCCCCCCTTCCAGCGCTCCCGGCGCCCCTCCCGTCAGTTCGCCGGCTGCCAGCCCCGGGACCTTTTCATCTCTTCCCTTTTGGCCGGAGGAGCCGAGTTCAGATCCGCCACTCCGCACCCGAAACTGACACACTGAACTCCGTTTCCTCCTCTTAAATTTATTTCTGCCTACTAGCCACTCGTCTCTTTTTTTCCCCCCATCTCGTCGCTCCAAGAAAACTTTTTCTTACTCCCCAAAGTTAAGGTTCCCCCTGCCCATCGTGTGTTAATATTTCCACTTTTGGAACGACTTGCATTTTCTTTTTAAAGGAATTCAAGCAAGATACCTTTTTCTATTGGACATTGACTCTCAAGACTGTTTGCAAAAGTTTCGCATTAAAAAAAAAATCTACCTGATCTGTACTTTGTTATTGGTTTCCTTTTTTTCTTACTTTTTTACCTTTTTTGTTTTTATTTTTATTTTTTTTTTAACTTTTTCCACCTTTAAAAAAATGCACTACTGTGTGCTGAGCGCTTTTCTGCTCCTGCATCTGGTCACGGTGGCGCTCAGCCTGTCTACCTGCAGCACGCTCGATATGGACCAGTTCACGCGCAAGAGGATCGAGGCCATCCGCGGGCAGATCCTGAGCAAGCTGAAGCTCACCAGCCCCCCAGAAGACTATCCTGAACCCGAGGAAGTCCCCCCGGAGGTGATTTCCATCTACAACAGCACCAGGGACTTGCTCCAGGAGAAGGCGAGCCGGAGGGCGGCCGCCTGCGAGCGCGAGAGGAGCGACGAGGAGTACTATGCCAAGGAGGTTTACAAAATAGACATGCCGCCCTTCTTCCCCTCCGAAAGTAAGTACTGTTTTTCGCTTCCACTCCCCGAGATTTAGCGCTGCCCGGAGCTCTCAAAACCGCGACAACTCCAAGGATCGCCCTTCCCTCTCCGGGTCCCCGCTCGCTCTTTTCCCTTCTCCCGTCCTTCGTCCCACCCACCTCCTTTCCAGTTCTCTGCTTGAGAACGTTAGGCTTTAAAACGTTGACTTTCTGCTTTATTTTCTCCATTTCTGCCTTCCCCCAACGCCTCAGTCCTTTCTAAAGCCTTCTTCTCTTTTACTCTTCCCTGAAATTCTTTACCAGGCCACCAGCTAGGAGTCAGCCCTCCTCTGTCAAACTGGAGGCGCTCCCCGGGGCAGAGTTAAACTGGGAAATCTTGGTAGGTTTGTTTTCTTTGCTCAGATTGGCGTGGAGCCCGCCGAACTGGTGCATGAAGGGTTAAAAAAAAGTGCCTCAAAACTAGCCTCTCCGGAAGGCGCCCCTTTCCTGCCGACCTATCAGCTGGTTCCCCAAGCCTTCCCCATTGTCTGTAACTCCCCGAAAAATGTCAGCATCGCCAAGAGAAAACCCGATTTGGAGACCCCTCGAAAAACCTACGTTAAAACGCTCAATTCTGGAACCGATTGCCATAGCTAGGTGTTTACATTCCCCAAACGCGAGGTCTTGTACCCACGTCCCCTTCTGACTTCACCTGGAGGGGTAGAAAGGACAACTTCGTTTCTGACTATGTTTAAAAGAATTTTCTTCATGTTACTTTTATAATTCGTTCAAACCTGCCTTCTTAAGATCGCCAATGTAGCAGATCATTTTTTCTGACGCGTTTATCGTTTATCTTTCTCATCCTTGAGCCCTGTGCTCCCTGCCCTTTCATAGGCTTCCTGCAGTTACTTCGATGCATTCCTAAATCTCAGCGTAGAAGACAGCCGATTTTTTTTTTTTTTTGCTGGCTTCTCTGAGGGCAGTGTCCTTAAAACCACCTGGCATACAGTAGCAATGGGAGTAAAATGATTTATTGTGGAGTTCCTTGGGGGGAAGGGAAGAGGACACTTAGCTTAGAATTTTTTCCAAGTTCTTAAAAAAAAAGAAAAAAGAAGAAGCAGCATCCAGTGATACCTGAGAGGGTTAAATACCAGGAAGAAGAAGAAAAAGAAAAAAAAAAAAATCGCTTCGACATTTGCGTATTCCAAATCCCAAGTCCTAAACTTTTCATTGGTTGTCCGTTTTTCTCCTCCCCTTTCCATGTCCTATATACTCGCTGGCTGCCTTCACAGAGTCTCTATGTCTTGCCTAAATAGATAATATGGCCATCTTGGTAATTTCATCCTCGAGGTTCTAATTGCAGGGTGGTGCTTTTCTTTTTTAATATTTATTTTTAGTTTGACAAGTCCTAGCTGTGTGACTTGCCATGTCTTGTACTTGATGGTCTCAGACTGTCAGCCGATGGATCTAACCCCGGTCTTCCTCGCTACCTTTCTTTTGCTGCAGCTTCTCCTGTTCTTGTAGAGCAGTGCAGATGCAGGAGATCCTGGCAAGCAGGATGATTTTATTATTGTAATTATGGCACCATCCACAACACTGCTAATAAATCTGTTCCACCCTGGTTATTCCCCTGGGGAAGTAAAGCTTTCTACCTGGGGTGGAGCCAAGAAGATATTAGGAAAGAAAGTTCATTGTAATTAGTCCAAAACCAGTGAGACTGAACAGGGAGTTGAGTCAGTATGCTTTCTCTTCCACGTGCATTAGTTCTACCGGTGTCTGGACAGACAGGCAAGTATGTTATATAGAGCCCGACCAAATCATCCCTTTGATGTGATGTTTACCTGCAAAAGCTCTAATGAACAGCCAGCACTTTTATAACAGAGAGGTCTGATCGCATCATTAGATAGGTGTGGAGAGAGCACGTTAACCCAGAGGGTGTTCATTCTTTGTTCCTTCAAGCACACTTCAGTCCAAAGAGCTGAGATGATCCACCCCGGGATCATAGTCATCACCAAATTGGAAAAATTCTCAGATTAATAGGATTTCAGAGGATGGCATCTGAGATCAGTGTGTTGATTCTCTTCTCCATCCCACCCCCAGCCACCAAATAAATTAAAACCTCTGATGAGTTCAGTAGAAGAAATATACTCTCAGTTTCCACGCAGGGAATAGGCTTCTTAAAGCCTGTGTTCTCTGGATGGAAGTTTAGGTGCAGAAAGCCATATTCATAGCAGGTTTGATACTACTGTGCGAGGACTGTGGATAATTTTATATAGAAAGTAGGTTAACTGATTTTCCAGCACTTTCTAGTTATACTGGAATATAGTGAACCCTTCCAAAAAAAGGGAAGAAAAGAAGAAATCATTCCACCATATTTTTAAAGAGCAAATTGAAAGTCCAGCATTGGCTTCTATACCGACTTTCCCTCTTTAGGACTTTTCCGCCTAATTTTCAACTCGGCCGACGCTGAAGTAGCTGTCAGGAGGGAGTGTGCCTGTCATTTCTTGCAGTGCGTCTGGCGAGGGTCCTAAGCCCCAGAGATGAAGGCATGGGAAAGATCACTGGTTCATTTTTTACCACCAACTTATTAGCGTTGAGAGAGTGACTTCAGCTCAAATATTACAAATATGCCCTAATTATACTCAATGAGCTGTATATCATTACAGATTGCTGATAGCCCTTTGTGGGATATTTTATATAGTTCAGACTAAATATTTTTAGCAATGTAGAGATTTAAAAGTAAAAATATAAGAGATATTGTATATCCTTAGGCATATTGCCCAGGGTACTATATAAATACAGTAAATATGAATAGATCTGGCCAGGTGCCAATCTCCTAGGATGAATTTCAGTCAAGAAGGTATTTATGGGATATAAATAATACTGTGTCAACATTTAAAGAAGGGGTCTGATTAGTTTTGAATTTATTCATATTGATCTTTTTCACAGGCTGTTAGTTTAAGGCTCAATGTGGAGTTGTACTAAGGTTTACTGATCGTTTACCCAGTGGGAATTAGTGGACGTCTAGTCCTTTGACAATCCATTTGAAGTTCAAGGCGCATCTATTCAAAAGACCCTGCGCAAGGCTTTAGAAATTTACAAAGTGATTCCATTAACTAGAGTAAGGATCCAAATGATTGACATTAAAATCCGTAGAGGCTTGGACAATCAAAAAAGGAAGAGACAAAAGTTTCATTTTCTTTTTTCCCCCTCCCTTTTGCACTGTAACAAATCAGGCACGTGTTGTGGTTCTAATGTGGTGATTTTTGCCCCCACCTTCCATCCTCAGGGAACGTTTGGTGACGTCCAGAGACATTTTTGGTTGTCCAGACTGGGAGTGGAAGGTGGTACTGGTATTTAGTGGGTAGAGGCCAAAGATGTTGCTGACCATCCTAGAATGCACAGTACAGGTTCCCCTCCACTCCCCTAATACATCAAAGAATTATGCAGCCCAAAATATTAATAATGCCCACGTTAAGGAGACCTGGTAAGCCAGGTATTTATTTGGGGTTCTTGAATTCTGCTAGTAGTACTTTTTTAAAAGTAATAACCTACAAATAAAATATCTTTATGATAAAAAGACATTAAAATGAGAGCATGGAATAGAAAGAGAATCAGAAAGTTGTCTTAATTAAATGGGAGTGTGAATTGGACCATTTTGTATGGTATATACTTGATTATGATGATCTTGAAGCACCTAAGTTAGAGGCATCAAAACTTCCCATTCATTTAGCCTCAGTAATGGTGTTGCCCCACCCGGCAGTAACTTCAGTCAGCAGCAACGTGATGTGAGAACAGAGAAAAAAGAAGTGAGGTATTATCTTGGATATTCCTTGCAAGGAAAATGAGCAGTTCATATTAATGAGGAGTAGAATCTTCAAGCTAGGCAACCAAAGACAGTAAATAATCGTGTTGGTTTATTCTATCATATTGAATTAGATAAACTAAAATATACAGCCTGAAACATCAGAGTGAGGTTTCCTTTGTAATTGCTTCACATGCATGTTAAACATTTAATACCAATCTCCTTTCTATTTCCCCTGTAATTTTCCAAGTGAAATTGTGGAATGTAGAAAGAATACCAATGGTACTATGGTTTTGGAGAATGCAACTTAAGATTCTATTCATGGATATGTCTTTCTGTATACAAATTGCTAGACTCTTGACCAGTCGCCCAATGAAGGAAAATATTAGCAATCGCTGGAACATAGTAGTATTTTTGCTTTATGTTCAGGGATTTTACTTAAGATTCTCTGTGTGTGGGTGTGTGAGAAAGAGAGAAATAGAAAGAGAGAAAGAGAGAGAAAAACAGGGAGAGAGATCAAAGGCAAACAGACTTGAACCCTTTGACTTCTATAATGACCGAGTTATTAATACACAGCAGACCAAACTTTAATTCCTGCATTTTTATTGCATCATTGCTTGTACTAACTCTAGTGCCTAATTGTGGTTACATTTAACTTAGGCCACATTCTCCTTCAGGATTTCCTCTTTTCTTTCTTTTTCTTTTCATAGACTAGGAAAAACCCTCAAAGAAATATACTGTTTATAACTGAAGCAGTTGGGCAGTCTTTGTTGCCAAGTGAGGCCAGCCTGCTTCAAGCCTCTCCTGGGGAGTCCCCATCCCATGGAGGCTGGGCTTAGGGAAGCTGGAGGGGTAGGTGGGGACCCCTTGACCTCCAGGAGGGACCTGGCGCCTTCTGTGTCTCCACAGCGACCCCTGGGGTCTACTCCAGGAAGTGCACTTTTGAATTATGACTTTTCTCTGGTGAAAAGATGCTGATGTAACCTAGTCACAGCATCTTTCATATAAAGATATGAAAGAATGACAGATCATTTTTCCTAGAGAAAACTGAGATGTGAAAAAAGGGCTAATGACTCACTGTTGATTCCACATCAAATCTGGGTTAGAACCGAGGAGTTCACTAACTCCTAGGCCTTTGTCCAGAGATTACAACACACTTCAGGCTGCATTTTTAGAGGTTGGGGAAAATAGAGTGGAGGAGCCTGGCCCTGAGAGAGATGTGCAGGCCGACCAC